AAAAAAAAAAAACCCCAAGATGTCAAGAAAACCTAGGATGAAATGTAGACTATAATAAATTGGTCTAACTCAGTGGTTCTCAACCTTTCTAATGCCACGACCCTTTAATACAGTTCTTCATGTTGTAGTGACCCCAAATAGCAATGAAAATAATTTTATGGGGCGGTGCCTATTGCTCAGTGGGTAGGGCGCTGGCCCCATATACCAAGGGTAGCAAGCTGGAACCCAGTCCCGGCCAAACTGCAACAAAAAAATAGCAGGGCATTCTGGTGGGCGCCTATGGGAGGCTGCTCAGGAGACTGAGGCAGGAGAATTGCTTAAGCCCAGGAGTTGGAGATTGCTGTGAGCTGTGACGCCACAGCTCTCTGCCCAGGGTGATACGGTCAGACTCTGTATCATTAAAAAAAAAAAAAAGGGAAAAAAAGAAAAAGAAAATAATTTTATGGTTGGGGGTCACCACTACATGAGAAACTGTATTAAAGGGTCATAGCATTAGGAAGATTGAGAACCACTGGTCTAACTGATAATCTAACTGAAGGATGTTTGGGTAATATAGATACAGAGGGACAAATAAAGAAGTAATTACAGATATGTTTATATACCTGGGTTAGTATATACACATAGCTCTGTCCATTAACAGATCCTAGAGGCAATGATACCCCAGTAGCAATGAGCAAATCCAAGGCCCAGGTCTTGTTTCTAAACATAACCCCCCAACAAAAGGAACCAGATGGCCTTAGACGAAAGGCTGATTTTAATACTGGGGGAGCACAAGTACAGGATAGAGTATCTTGTAGTGTCAGAAAGGAAGGGAAAGTCCAAAAACCAAAAGAATGGTAGCAAAAAGACACAGAAGCCAACCTGAAATAGCTTCCAATGGCCATAGCTGGAATAACCTACACACAAAAAAATTAAACACCAATACTACTGGATCATAAACCAAAAAATTAAATATTTGTGAATTTATAAATGAATGAATTTTAAAATGAGGTTAAAGAGGCAACTCTTCTTTATAAAAAATTCTAAATAATAAATGCTGATAAAATGAGGGAAAAAGAAATCTCCATTAGGATTCTACAGCAATAGGCTTGGCGTCTGTAGCTCAGTGGCTAGGGTGCCAGCCACATACACGGGAGCTGGCGGGTTTGAAC